TAAGAGTTTCTCTGCCATCTCATTTTGTGTGCCAAATATATTTATTTGTATAAATTAATTGTATAACTGTAATTACACTATGACTTTCAAAAGCTGAAGTGATTACATTAATTTATTTGTTAGAATATGTATAACTCAATATTTTAACTAATTGTAAAAGCTGAATAATCAATAAATGTCTACTGATTAATCAGAGAAATAATTGATGATTAGTCGACTAATCGTTCTAATAATCGTTAGATACATCGATTATCAAAATAATCGTTTGTTGCAGCCCTAGTTGCAACAGAGCCTTTTCATTTCCTTTGACATTAGGGATGTAACGATTAACCGCGAGCCGGTTGAAAATCGATTCAAATATGTGACGATTCAAAACGGTTGAAATGCTAAACAAATCGCGATTCAATTAGGGGTAGGAGTTTATATGAATGAATGCCTGAGTGGAACTTCTACTTGCGTCTTTCGATGGTATTTTTTCTTTTCATCTTGCCTCTGTATAATGCTCTCAAATCGAATCGTGAATCGAATCGTGAGTTGAGTGAATCGTTACATCCCAATTTGACATTAATAAACCAGCTGTAAAATTGGCAAAGAAGTGAACTTTCAGGAGTTGATATATAACATGTATGATGTCATGTCGCTGGAGGTCTAAAGCGTGTGCACACTGAAGATAAAGGGCCTGCTAGTAATTCTGTGAAGTTTTAGGTTTGTGAGGGAGTGTTTTTATTCAGGCTAATCTGATGTGGCAAATGTCCAATGGGTATTTCTCACAGGAAGACACGGCCTTTAAGGGACTGTTATTTTAAGATGTTTGCGCTGTGTTTCTCGTTTCTGTTTCTCGGTTTATTCCATGGTTACTGTGGTGTTTACGCAGGACTTGTGCCAAGCTCAGTTGTTTATAATAATGTTCTGATCTGATTTGTTAATCAGTCATTGACTTCTGCTCACTGAGTAATATGAGGAGTTTGATTTAGCCTTTTTGAGATTTATTTGGCCATGTCAACCAGATTTTTACAAATCCACAAGCAGCTTTTATGTAATACACTGAATACTGAATACTTTTGAATACTGGTTTCAAAAGTTTAGGGTCTGTAAGGTTTTGAATTGAAATTGAAAGGATTTGTTTTTATTTTTATTTTTGTCTGTTTTCTTTCATTCTTTTTTCATGTATATCAACATTATCGCCCATTATGAGGACTGAGGCTGTTAAGCGGCAAAATGACAAAAAAACATAAAAGTATTATAAAACTAGATTAAATGATTTGAACTGTCGTAATATGATAGCTTTGCATGAGAAGCAGGCTGAAATCGGATAATCTTGCCTTCTAGCCTGCTGTAACATTGACACTCATCTGAATGTTGTAATGCCTCCAGAGGTGGGCTGAGACTGTAATTGGCTCTGGTTGGGATGACGGGTCTAATCCTGCTGCTTTACTCAGGGAATGAGAGAGAGAGAAGACAGGTGTGATGCTTTCAGAATGTAATCAAATGAAAATTAAACAGTTCATTTTATTTTTTGGCAAACAAATTGCTGCGTAAAAGAGGTTTACTGTTAAAATTACAACATGGATATTATGGTATATTATATGTGAATATTTACCCTCAGTTTCTTTTGTCTTCATTCTTGATTAGTAAAGCATCTGTTGATTTCACTGTTTTCTCGATTATTTAATGAGGCATAAATATGATTAATATGATAAACATTTATAGTTTAGTTCTGTTCATGTTTTTCTGATAAAGACATGTTAATGAGTAAGGTTGGGTATCGTTTGGTTTTTTTTTCGATACCGGTGCCAAATCAATACTTATTAAAAAATAAATAAATAAAAATTCCCCCAAAAAATGATCGATTGGCCATTAGCACTATAAACACATGATGTCTGTTTCATTCATACTGGACGCCAGAGGGCGCTCTCGCACAGAAAATCCACATATCCAGTCACAGAAGTAGAGGACTCATGGCCCTCCAGGAAATCCCTTATATGGACAAAGGCATTGCTATTATATCTGTAACTGAGTAAACAAAACATATAAACATTTTGAATGATTAAAACAAAGACAATACACACTCAACTGCGACAATATAGTTTATCTGTGTTATTTAAGCCATCTCTGGTATTTTCATAATAATTAAGTATATTTATAATAGGGTGACCATATTTTAGTTTTCCAAAACAACGACAGTAGGGGGCGGGGTTCGTGGGCAGGGCTTCACCTAGGGCTGGACAATAATTCAATATCAATATGTATCGCGATATCATTTTTTTCAATAACGGTGATATGATTTTTAAACACATTTCCGATATTGTGGGAGCAGGCGGCAATGGTCAGAGATTCAGCGGGAGTGTGATTAAGAAAACAGCCGAATCTCAGACATTTTGGGCAATTAAGAAATCCCGGCCGGACACATTTTTGTAGGTCCAAAAAGAGGACATGTCCGGGGAAAAGAGGACGTATGGTCACCCTAATTTATAACCTATTGCTGATCGATGTATTCTTTTTAAAGTAGCATATGGAACATATTTTCTGCCTCATTCTGTGACGAGAAGCCTCATCAGATCACAAAAGGAAGCATTTGACTGGTGTTGTGGAGTAAAAAGGTTATAATTTTCTCTTTTATTGGACAACAGGTTTAGAAATGTGAATACCAAGGGAGGTTTAGCTTTAGGCATTTTAATTTAAGCATTTTTACCTTAGTTAACAGAAGGCTACCTGCTGCCATCAGAGCAATTACTTAATATTATTAAGTGTAATTACTGCATTCACACGCTCCTTGAATGCTCTCATTTCCCGAGTTGTGCTTTTAAGTCGGGATGTGAAAACAACATGGACACTCGCGTTACTACAAAGATGTGTTGGATTTGTATTATTAGAGCTTTCCGACTTGAGTTCATGTGCATTTTCTCAGTCGGGAAATTATTTTCCACGTGCGGTGCCAGTGATGATGTTTCTTACGTCTGTTTCGGAGAACCAGAGGACAAATATTTCAATCTATTGCTCAGGTATGGCACTGAAATGAGGCACCAAAATCTGCGTTCGGATTCGGTTCTAGTTCATACCGGTTACATGGGTTACACGGTGCCATATTGGTACCGGGTTTTGGTACCCAACCCTATTAATGAGTGTAACTAATATGCATTAACTCAGAAAATGCTTGTTTTTTTACTGTCTGTTCTGTTTTTCGGGGAGAATGAACTTCCTGTTAGGGTTCAGTGATGTTTAGATCTAGAAGCTGGGAGGCCATTAAAGATGTTAAACTTTATCCTGACGTTTATAAAAACCCACTTCAGTTTGTTTAGCAGTGTGTTTGAGAGCATTGTCCTAGAGCGGGGATTCCCAAACTTTACGTTTACTGGAAATATGACTTTGAATACACATTAATAACATGTTCTTGATTCTCTGATGTTGGGTAATGGTAACATGACATGCAGGTAGTTCACAGCAAATCATCTCCCATTAAATACCTCATTCATTCATTTAGAGCTTAATCTCTAGTTTAAATAGAATTAATTAATATGATTTAATATTAACATTGATAGAATTGAGTTTAAACAAAGACTTTCTTCTTGAATCAAGTCAGATTTATTGAGGCAGACAGGTTTGTGTGCAGTTGTCATCTTCTCAACAGTTTCTTCTCTGTATTTGATGGAGGACAGTAACTCCTATTGAGTTGCCGTAGGCCTCTACTGTGAACTCCCTTACTGCTACGCCCAGTTTTAAGGGCCGAGCGATTTTGGGCAGGTGCATAACTCACATTTGTCACCTGTAATTATAGCCTCAGAGAGCTTTAAAGTATATTCATTGCTTTGAAAAGTTCATAATGTTCCTTCTTTTTTGGAATGTTCCCGGGTCATTCAAATTCAAAATTAACATTTTTCTTCCAGTATCTTTTCCATGCAAATGTGCTCAGTTGGAATGAATTCACACTGCAGGTGTCTGACGATTAAACTTGTAAATATGAGCAACTGTAATCCACCGGTTGTACCAAGTGACTAGTTTGTACTTCCTGTCTTGATCTTATATCTGAATTTACATGTTTTTTTCCCCCCCTGCAGCTCAAGTTACTCGACCGCAGCCCTTGATTTTGAGAAGGAGCACCAAATCAATCCTGTGTACGATTCGCCCAGAATGTCTCGCCGTAGTTTGAGACTACAGACCAGCAGTGGTTTTTATGGTGACAACAGCCTCACTGAGCTCACAGGCAATCACAGTGTCGGCTCCTACAAGCAGACCAGCACCACCAGCAGCAGCAGCGTCAGCAGGTCAGATCTTCATCTCTCTGGCAGTATAAGATAACAGACCAAGTGTGCAACATCACTTCTTATCAAGAAACCCACACAGCCTTGTGCCAGCTCTTCTACGTGAGATGAGTGGCATGTTTTTCTCATCATAATTGGAAAATTTAACTTTTAAAGCTGTTAAACCTGTATCTTATTACTGTGGACATCTTTAGTTCAAGGGAAGGAGGTTTATCTTAAAGTGTATTATTAATTGAATTGAATTAGGCAATTCTGCAACTATAGATTTTTTAGAAATATACAAGTAGTGAAAGTCAGCATCTCAATATGCAGTAGTAAGAGAGGTTGTCCTGTAATGACTGACATGTTAGTGCTTGAGTAAAATGAATGACATGGTAAAAAATACCATCTTTCCAGCCTTACAGAAATTCCCCAAATATCCCCAAGATATGTTTGTGCGATCAGCCTGGCAGCACATATTTTACATGACTTACATACATACATAATAAAAAAAAACAGATATTTTAATTTCCATTTTTACTGTATTTTTGATCAAATAAATGCAGCTTTGGTGAGCGCAAGAGACTTCTTTCAAAAACAAAAAAAATCTTACAAATGTATGTATAGATTAACTGAATTCCTTACATTAGCAAAAATTAACTCAGTTTATGATCATGTGATCTTGAATGGCACATCCTCATGATTCATTATGAAACCTAGCATCATTTATATAAGATCTTAACTGGGATTTCAAAACTCTCATTGCTCTCACTCTTGCAAAAGCTATTGGAGGAAAATATTCCTTACTTCCTAAATATTCCTTTTATTTTCATGCACCAAATGGGGGAAAACTGCACAATTTCAAATAAATTGTAATTAAGTGGCAGTGACACATGGCTGTGTGTAGGGCTTACTACAAGTGCATACTTGCTTTCAAATGTAATTGACCCACTGTGTTTTTCCCACAGGGCTGTGCGGAGCAGGAGGCAGCAGCAGAGCTCATCCGTGTACGAGTCTCAGAGCATGTCTCAGATTGTGACTCCGACTGCTCAGAAAGACCAGACCCTGTCAGACCTGAGTTTCACCAGTACAGCCAGTGATGCATCTCTAATCTCTAGCCTGCTGGATCAGTCCACACTCAGACAGAGCTCCACGGCACACGCATACTCTGGTCAGTGGCCTTTCACAAGTGTGCAAAAAGTCAACATGAAGTCAAAACCAACCCTGTTTAATTTTCCTAAAATGACAGTTCACCCCAAATGAAACTTTCCTGAAAAATTACTCACCCTCAGGCCATCCAGGATGCAGCTGAGTTTGTTCTTCACCAGAACAGATTTGGAGAAATTTAGCATTACATCACTTGCTCACAAATGGATCCTCTGCAGTGAATGGGTACCGCCAAACAGCTCATAAAATCTTTCTCCAAATCTGTTCCGATGAAGAAACAAACTCCACTACATCTTGAACGTCCTGAGGTTGAGTGCATTTTTGGGAGAACTACTCCTTTAATCAGTTTGTTTTTGTAATCTTTCATGAAAACTTGCAAATTGTCAAATGTAATTGGCGTCATTTTAGGCAAATGTCACACTGTAGCTATTGCCTATTTAATCCTTACTGTTTAAACTATGAAACTATGCATAAACAACTGTTTTTGTAGGAAACTCAAGGTTATGTTTAAGTTAACGGAGTAAACAACTCTCTTTCTCGCTCAGACCTGTAGATCAGGTCAGGTTATCATCAGTCTTCTGTGAATCACATCAGGTTGAACAGTGTGCTTTGACTATTTTTATTCATTTATTTGGTATTTTCTTAATGTTGTGTTCAGCACAGAGAAGAAGAAATGCTCACAGCTCTCTGTTGGAGAATGGAGACATCAGTAAAACAGAAGCGCACACTAATCTGGCTAACGGCTATATTTGTAAGGACTGCTCGTTCCACGCAGACGGGAAGGAGGATGAAATGGCATGTTCCTTACCGTACTCGACATCTGTGTCTTCAGCGTATCAGACAGCTGAAGACGCCACTATGACCACTTCTCTGAATAGCGTTGACAAGACAGGTGAGGACATGATCGAGTCAATTCGCAAACGTTGTTTCCATTTTCATGCCTCTCCATATTTCAAAAACACTTAATTAAAGGAATAGTTTACTCAAATAAAGAAAATTTGAATAAAAGTTTGCTTCTTCATCAAAACAGATTTGGAGAAGTTAGTCATTATTATTAAGCATTAATTTAGCATCACTTGCTCACCAATGGATCCTCTGCAGTGAATGGGTGCCGTCAGAATTAGAGTCCAAACAGCTGATAAAAACATCACAATAATCCACAAGTAATTCACACCACTCCAATCCAGTTTTTTTACTTAAAAACCTCGCTTCCTGCTAAAATACAAATCCTCTATCCATAATAACGCTCCAGTGAAAAAGTTGTCACTACTTGCATGTGGTGTGGATTGTTTGTGGGTTATTGTGATGTTTTTATCAGCTGTTTGGACTCTCATTCTGACGGCACCCATTCACTGCAGAGGATCCATTGTTGAGCAAGTGAAATAATGATACATTTCTCCAAATCTGTTCTGATGGAAAAAAAAAAAAAACTGAGGGTGAGTACATTTTCAGCAAATTTTCATTTCTGGGCGAGTCATTTCTTTAACCCTCATATTGTGTGTTTTGTTGTGTTTTTGTTTCAATAATTTGTTCAACATCTTGATTTTTGGTTCGCCGTGATTATTTGAAGTAGACCAATAAGAAAGGCACCTTAAATGTAAAAGAAAATGATCTCCCATTTTCCATTTGGAAATATTTTTCAGTTGCATTATGTGTAATTTTGTTGTAATACTATGTTTTTATATGTAAATTCATGCCCACTCGCTATTTGTGAAATAAAGTGAAAAGCATGCTCGAATTTCAGATGAGCAAGTGCTTATTTGCTGTATGTGTGTTTCAGCTCATGACAGCTACTGTGGCAGTGTGAACGTGCGAGATCTGGTGACAACAGACAGCCATCTCAATCTCAACGGGTCACTCTGTAAGTTCACACAGGATACCTAAACAATCCTTCAGTGCAAAAGCATTTACAAAAACTACAGCTAATGAACTATTATAACATCTGCCATGGACTTTTATGTGGCTAAACAGCATCAACAGAAGTCTAGATTGCATTTAAATATTAGTAACACAAAGTTAACTTATATTTTGTCAGTGTATCTGTATTTTGTCACGTTCAAAGTGGTCTTTTTTGCTGTTTTTCACAAATTATCCCTTTTTGTCAGGTAAAGCATGTTAGATTAAGTGAACCACATGCCGATTAGAGTGGATTTCCATGTTTGTGACCGCTGAGCTCCAGATTATGTTTTTGTACAGCTAGTTTAAGGGCAGAACCTAAGCCTGATGGTCAACAGAGCATGTGATTGACCCATTCTGAATGACAGCCCAGTTTAAGGATGACAAATTATCCACTCAGCATTGTTGTCAAACAGAACGACACATGGGAAATCAAAGGTCTGGGACAGTAGATGTATCTACAGTCTAAATTTACCAGACACTTGAGCTATTTGTGATGTTTTTTTGTGATGACTGAAAACACATGCTTCTTTGATGCTGATGTTGTCGCCACTGCTGATTTTCAGGTGATGACTGTAAAGGAAAACAGCACATGGAAATGCACACGGAGCATAAACACTATTCCTACACCCGCCTTGTATACGCAGCCTTGTGGGCCCTTGTTTCTTACACAGGTTATACACCTTCAGATCTTTACACACCTTCCCAGTAGACGTCGACTTCAGTGTCTCATTCCAGTAGAGAAGCTTTTGTGTCGTCTTTTCACAAGCTTTCATGACAATATTTGTTTTCTGTCCATTTGTCCATAAACACATTTTTTGCAATGATCACTCAAATGTGGTGATGAAACACTTATAATGATGTGACAGAGATACGTAATACCAAATTCGGGGGATCCCTTCAGCTCGAGGAGCCCTTTCGAACGCCACCCTCCGCGCGGCGGTAGCCCCCCGGGATCGCTTGGATCGGTCGGTGCCGGACTGCGAATTTAACCACCCCTAACTCCCGAACCCCGGGGGCTATCGACGTGGCGGTGGTCTCATTCGAAAGCAGGCCTCTAGACGTACACTCAATTCGTGTTCGAGAGGGTTCCTCGAGCTGAAGGGATCCCTTGAATTTGGTGTGGATTTGCCACGCCGTTACGGAGATATGGCCGTTCAAAGTTTCAATGGTTTTCCATAGACTTAAGCTTTAAAGCATTTCATCCAGGTCGCCAGTAGCAAACAATGGAGCGCGCTCTGCTGGACAAACTTAGTAATTACACAATTTCAAGCATTTTATCTGCGTTATATGTTCTGTAAAAAAAAAATTCATATCGGCTGCATATTCACCGATACCGATATATCGGCGACAGGCTAATATCGGCCGATTATATCGGCAAAACGATATATCGGTCAGGCTCTAGTCTTTTCACAAGCTTTCATGACAATACTTGTTTTCTGTCCATTTGTTAGCTAAAAGAATTTGCTACTGTGTAAGAACTGAAATGAAAAAAATTTGGCGGGGGGGGCATCACTTGAGCTATTTGTGATGTTTTTATGTAGACGTCCTGTCCTTATATATTAAGCTTTTTTTTAATTTACATGATGTATGTTATATTTTCAGTGGTTTTCAGTCATTTTGAATGTATTATTTTATAGATTGAGATTTTAATTTACTGTACTTTTCAAAAATTTGGGATCGATAAGATGTTTTTGAATGAGGTCTCATCATGGCTGCATTTATTTGATCAAAAATACACAAAAACAGTAATATTGTGAAATATTACAATTTAAAAATAACTGTTCTTATTATCAATGTTGAAAAGAGTTGCTACTGAATATTTTTGTGGAAACTGTAAAGCATTTTTTCAAGATTCTTTGCATAGAACTTTCAAAAGAATAGCATTAATTTGAAATTAAAGTCTTTTGTAAGATTCTAAATGTGCTTTACTGTCACTTTAAATCAATTTAATGCATCCTTGCTGAATATATGTATTAGTATATTTTACTGACCCCAAACTTTTGAACGGTAGTTTATTATTTTGAATTTATTATTTCATAAACGGATGTTCTAGACTTCATCTCATTTGTATTATTTCCATTCATGTACTGTGATAAAACTGAAAACACATGCATCTTTGATGCTGATGTTGTCGCCACTGCTGATTTTCAGGTGATGACTGTAAAGGAAAACAGCACATGGAAATGCACACGGAACATAAACGCTATTCCTACACCCGCCATGTATACGCAGCCTTGTGGGCCCTTGTTTCTTACACAGGTTATACACCTTCAGATCTTTACACACCTTCCCAGTAGACGTCGACTTCAGTGTCTCATTCCAGTAGAGAAGCTTTTGTGTGTCGTCTTTTCACAAGCTTTCATGACAATATTTGTTTTCTGTCCATTTGTTAGCTGAAAGAATTTGCTACTGTGTAAGAACTGAAATTAAAGAAATTGGAGGGGGGGGGGGGGGGT